AGCATTTTGAAATTTAGTTCTAGGAGACTAGAACCAGGAAATTCTTTACTATAGAAGGCATCGCAGGAGTCATGGCTAGAGTTTATGTTCTGTAATGCTCTAAAACTTTTCTGTCAGCCTCTCTTTTCTTTTTTGCTTTTTTTTTTTTTTTTGAGACAGGGTTTCATCATATAGTCTTGGCTGGCCTGGAACGATGTTGGCTTCAAACTCAGAAAGATCCAGCTACCTCTGCGTCCTGAGTGCTAGAATTACCACTCCTGGCTGTCAGCCTGTCTTGAGACGTTATAGAACAAAACATCCAGGTTTTTTTTTTTTTTTGTCTTTGTGAGACAAGGTCTCCCGGTAGCCCCAGCTGGCCTGGAACTCACAGAGATCCACCAGCCCTCTGCCTCCCCAAGTGCTGCATTAAAGGTGTGTGTCACCATGCCGGCTCAAAACATCCAGTTTTAATCAGGCACAAAAGCAGCCAGCCAGGGGAGTAATATCCAGTTGACTATAATTTATTTTTTGAGACAGTCTCACTATGTAACCTGTCCTGCCTCAGCCTCCTGAGGGCAGAATTTTAGACAAGTGCCACCACATTCTGCTTGTGACTATAATTCTGAAAAGTTGGGAAGCTTTGTCCTAATAGGAGTTTTAAATGCAGCCTACCCTCTCAACTCAGATTGTTTTCTGTATTTTGTTTGGTTTCTCTGATGATTCTGTCTTTAATGTTTAAATCTTTTTTTTTTTTTTTTTTTTAAACAGAATTTCATGTAGCTTAGGCTTTCCTCTTTGAACTCCTGATCTTCCTGTCTCCACCTCCCGAGGGCTGGGATTACAGGCATGCTCCACCATGCCTGGCTCAATGTTAATGTTGTTGCACATCATATTAGACTTTTCCTAAACCTAAGCCTGGTTCTCCTAACAAGAGCATTGTGTTTTTCTCTCTGGTTTCTTGGATTTCCTTCACCATAGTTCTTCCCTATATCCTTTTTAGAGGCTCTCAGGTTCATGTTCTGTAGTCTGTTGCTGTTCCTTGCCTGTGTGCGGTCTCATTGGAGGTACATTAGCTATTCCCACTGCTTCTCGGGTTGACTTGTTGACATGCCGCTTTTCTCCACGGGAAGTCTCTGAGCATAGCTGCTTTTCATAATAGAACTAGGGATTATATAGTCTTTCTCCTGTTTGTTTTTCTAAAATGAACTGCTGCTTGGTTATTTCGTTTGTGTTTTCGCTGTCAACTTTATTATTATTTTCGTAATTTTTTTCTTTGAGACAATGGTCTCTTGGAGCCCAGACTGACCTTGAACTCCCTATGTGGCTGGTGCTGGCCTTGAACTCCTTAACTCTCCTGCCTTTGTCTCCCAAGCGCTGATTTATGCACTCCATACCACATAGGGCTAATTGCTGTTTGTTTGTTTGTTTGTTTTTGAAATAGGGTCTCATTGTATAGCCCTTGCTGGCTTAGAACTTTATGTATATAAAACTGGCCTCAAACTCATAGAGATCCAGCCGGGTATGGGGCCCATGCCTTTAATCCCAGCACTTGGGAAGCAGAGGCAGGTGGATCTCTGTGAGTTCAAGACCAACTTCATTTACTTAGCAAGTTCTAGGCCCCCAGCTGGGGCTGCAAAGAGACCTTGTCTCAAAAAGAACCCCCCCCCCCCAAAAATGATCCACCTACTTCTGCTCCCTCCTGAGTGTTAGGATTAAAGGGATAATTGCGTCAGGCGTGGTGGCACGTGCCTTTAATACCAGCACTTGGGAGGCAGAGGCAGGTGGATCTCTGTGAGTTCAAGGCCAGCCTGGTCTACAGAGTGAGTTCCAGGCCAGCTGGGGCTACAGGGAGACCCTGTCTCAAAAAGACCAAAAAAGGGGGGCGGTAATTGCATGTTTTAAATATTAAATCACAGTTTTAAAAAATGAAATGCACATTTGAATAGAAAAAGTGGTATTGTAACAAATGGACCTGAGTCTAACCTCTTAATAACTAAGTCTGTGTTCGAGAATGGCTTGAACTTGAATTTGAAGTCTTCCTGCCTCAGGCTCTAGAATGCTTAGATTAGAGCTGTGAACCGCCTTGCCTGGCTGGCTACCTTTTTATTAATTCTGTGTGATGGAGACGAAGTTGTAGAGGCTTAAGGAGCCAGAAGATGTGAGTGTAGGAGAGTATGAAGTGGGGTGGACTAAAGGAGCACACTGTGAGAGTAGGGCCATGGGTAGGGCCCCTTGGAATGCCTGCAGTAGATTCAGGGGAAACCACTCATTGTGGTGCTTTTTTTTGGGGGGGGTGCTTTCTTTTTTAACCATGTTTAAGATGAACATGTACAGCTTAGGGGTAGAGCAAACAGGGGTTTTCCAAGTAAATACAGTAGAATAAGAGGAGGGAATTGTAGGTCTGTGAGGCTGATTATAATGCTTGCCTAGAATTTAATTTGGGGGAAGGAAGCCAGTGATGGCAGTGCATCCCTGGAGGTTTGGGAGCATGACTTGAATCTGGGAGTTTCTGACAGTATGGCCAGACCACAATTGTCTTTTTGTTTGTTTTGTTTTGTTTCAGACAAGGTCTCACTATGTAGCTCTAGCTGATCTCAGACTTTTGGAAATTCTTTTTTTTTTTTTTTAATTGAATTTTTGTGTATTTCATACAGAATTTTTTTTTGTTTTTGGTCTTTTGGAGACAGGGTCTCCCTGTAGCCCCAGCTGTCCTGGAACTCACTATGTAGACCAGGCTGTCCTCCAACTCACAGAGATCTGCCTGTGACTGCCTCCCAAGTGCTGGGAATAAAGGCATGCGCCGCCACGCCTGGCCCAATACATACAGAGTATCTTAATCATCTTTATACTCCCTTCCCCGTTGGCCCCCTCCCATAGCTGCCTCATCCCCACCCCTTGCCCCCCTTGGAGTTCATATATTTTGTCATGTGTGTTAAGGCCTATCATGTCACGTTAGTGTACCCAGATGTCCCTCAGTGCAAGTTCATCCACTGTGGTCTAGTGAGCTTGTCTGGAGTCCCTCCCTTTAAGATCAGCTCTTCCTCACTCAGCAGCAATCAGCTGTCAATAATTCTTCAGCTAAGATTGGGGCCTGCTATCCTTGGAAATCCTTCTGACTCTGAATCCTGAGTGCTGGGATTACAGACACGAGCTACCATGTCTGACTCTGAGACCTCATCTCTTTTTAAAAATGGACAAAAATAATGAAGATATTGAAAACATGATAAAATTAATGGATTTAAGGTTTTGTGAAGTTGAAGGATTGTAGAGTCAAGGTGCTAGAGAGAATGAATTTGAGAGACAAAGAATGTTCAAAATTTTTAAGAAATTAGGACTAGCAAAATGGCTTTTCAGGTAAGGTCCTTTCTGCCAAGCCTAACTACCCAAGTTCAATCCCTAGGACCCACATGGTAGTAGGTGAGAACTTACTCCTACGAGTTTTCCTTTGACCTCCACATGAAAAACGTGATACATACATGTTTACCCCCTCCACATACAATAAAGAAATCAATAAAAAAAAATTAAGAATTATATGTAAAGAATGAGAATGTACAGAGCTTACAGTCCATATATTTATGGAAATGAGTTCTTGTGTCATGGGAGAGGACAAAGATGAATTTGAGAACTAGGAAGCCAAGATCAGGAGAGTTCCTTATCCAAAGAATGGTGTTACTCTAGCTTGCCTACTGATGTTTTCATAGTAACATATTTTTTTTTTATATATTTTAGATTTTATATATTTTATACTATAAAATACTCAAACAGAGCCTAGTGTGGTGCGTGTGCCTTTGATCCCAGGTAGAAGCAGGCAGATATCTGTGAATTCAAGTCCAGCCTGGTCTACGTAGCAAGTTCCAGGCTAGTTGGGGCTATATAGTGAGTACTCCCCTCCCTTCTCTTTTATCTATAGGATGGATGGATGGATGGATGGATGGATGGGTGGATGGATGGATGGATATGCATACACATATCTTAAGCTGAAACAAAAGATTAAAGGATGAAAATCCAATTCTATTTCAACAGCAGGGCCCACTCCCACCTCCAGGAATGGAACTTAGGCCTTTTACATTCTAGGCAGGGGCTCTACACTAAACCATGACCCCTTAACCCCTTAATTAAGGGTTCTAGGCAAGTGCTGTACTGCTGAACTATACCTCCAGCTTGAGACCAGTATTCTCTTTTTTTGGTCTTTTCGAGACAGGGTCTTCCTGAAGCCCCAGCTGGCCCGGCACTTGCTATGTAGACCAGGCTGGCCTCCATCTTACAGAGATCTGCCTGCCTCTGTCTCCCAAGTACTGGGATTAAAGACATGCGTCACCATGCTGGTTAAGAGTAGTACTTTTCTAAAGTTATGAGATGCTATTGAGTTTCAATTTAGTTACTCCTAAACTGGGGTCCATGGCTGAACTGTGGAATTGTATACATAGTTTTTGTATGTTGTTGCTGGCAAAAAGATTTATGGATTTTATTAAAATATTTGAGAACCACTAATACATGTGTGAACAGAGAGCTGGCTGTATAGCAAAAGTGTCTAATGTCAGAGTGTGATGGGCTTGTGTAGTTAAGGTGATGGGGGTTGAACCCAGGTCCTCACATTTGTTAGAGACATGCCATTTCACTGAACTCTAGAACTCGGATTTTTTAGGGGCGGGGGGTGGGAAGCATCAAGACACGGTCTCATGAGGGTCTCATGAAGGTCTTCAACCTTGTTACGTAGCCAAGGCTGGCCTTGAACTTCTAATCCTCCTGTCTCCACCTCCCAAGTTTGGGGATTGCAGCTATGTCTTCACTACATTAGCAGAGTGTATACTTTTAAGCCTGGCTATCAAGTGGATTTTATATTGGTATAGCAAAAGCATTGGCTAGCAGGCATTCTTTGTTTTTTCATAGTGTCTATGAAGAGAAATGAGTAGTATATAGCTTTACCTGCCCAACTGGAGAAGAGCACCTCAGAGGTGCTTAAATCCTGCCTCTGACACTTAGCTTTTAGAAGTAATTTTGCTCCTGTTCTTGAATTTTAGTACATGACTCTCAACCCCTCTACCAAGAGGAAGAATACTGGCTCTCCAGACAGGAAGCCCTCCAAGAAATCCAAGAGGGACAGTTCTTCCCTGAGCTCTCCACTGAACCCTAAGTTATGGTGCCATGTGCACTTGGAGAAGTCATTAAATGGCCCACCACTCAAGGTGAAAAATTCTAAGAATTCCAAGTCCCCAGAAGAGCATCTGGAAGAAGTAATGAAGATGATGTCCCCCAACAAGCTGCACAACTTCCACATTCCTAAGAAAGGCCCAGCCACCAAAAGACCAGGGAAGCCCAGTGACAAACCCCTGAAAGCCAAGGGCAGAAGCAAAGGCATCCTGAATGGACAGAAGTCCACAGGGAATTCCAAGTCACCCAAGAAGTGTTTGAAGACTCCTAAGACCAAAATGAAGCAGATGACTTTATTGGATATGGCCAAAGGCACTCAGAAGATGACTCGAGCCCCACGGAGTTCTGGGGGTGTGCCAAGGTCCTCCAGTAAGCCTCATAAACATCTGCCTCCTGCCGCCCTGCACCTGATAGCCTACTACAAAGAAAACAAAGACAAGGAGGACAAGAAGAGTGCCCTGTCATGTGTCATTTCCAAAACAGCACGACTCCTCTCCAGTGAAGACCGAGCACGGCTCCCAGAAGAGCTTCGGACTCTTGTCCAGAAACGCTACGAGCTTCTGGAGCACAAAAAGAGATGGGCCTCTATGTCTGAAGAGCAGCGAAAAGAATATTTGAAAAAGAAACGGCAGGAGCTGAAGGAGCGGCTGCGGGAAAAAGCCAAAGAACGGAGGGAGAAAGAAATGCTAGAGAAGCTGGAAAAGCAGAAACGCTATGAGGACCAGGAGTTAGGAGGCAGAACCCTCCCGGCCTTCAGGCTGGTGGATACCCCTGAAGGGCTGCCCAACGCTCTTTTTGGGGACGTGGCCCTAGTAGTGGAGTTCCTGAGCTGTTACTCTGGGCTGCTCCTGCCCGATGCTCAGTACCCCATCACTGCCGTGTCCCTCATGGAAGCTCTGAGTGCAGACAAGGGTGGCTTCTTGTACCTAAACAGAGTGCTGGTCATCTTGCTGCAGACCTTGCTCCAGGATGAAATCGCAGAAGACTATGGAGAGCTGGGCATGAAGCTTTCAGAAATCCCACTCACTTTGCATTCGGTTTCAGAACTGGTCCGGCTCTGCTTGCGCAGGTCTGACCTCCAGGAGGACAGTGAGGGCTCAGAAACAGATGACAATAAAGATTCTGCACCATTTGAAGACAACGAGGTGCAGGATGAGTTCTTAGAGAAGCTGGAGACCTCTGAATTTTTTGAGCTTACCTCAGAGGAGAAGCTGCGGATCTTGACGGCTCTCTGCCACCGGATCCTCATGACATACTCTGTGCAAGACCACATGGAGAAGAGGCAGCAGATGTCTGCAGAGTTGTGGAAGGAGCGGCTTGCTGTACTAAAGGAGGAGAATGATAAGAAGAGAGCAGAGAAACAGAGGCGGAAAGAGATGGAAGCCAGGAACAAAGAAAACGGAAAAGAGGAGAATGGGCTAGGCAAAATGGACAGGAAAAAAGAAATTGTGAAGATGGAGCGCCAAGCTGACACTGAAACGGATGACATGATTAGTGCTGTCAAGAGCAGGAGGCTGCTCACCATGCAAGCTAAGAGGGAGCGGGAAATCCAGGAGAGAGAAATGAAAGGTAAAGTTCATGCCAACAAGAGAGGGGACTCCCTTTAGAGGACAGAAGAAAGGACTAGAATAATGTAGGATGTCCATCAACTATTAGCTTGTTCTATATGTGACCTGGCATTCACCAAGATGTTTTTGGTTTGGTTTTTTTTTTTGTTTTTTATCTTTTTGAGACAGGGTCTCCCTGTTGCCCTAGCTGGCCTAGAACTCACTGTGTAGACAGGCTGACCTTGAACTCACAGAGATCCTGCCTGCCTCTACTTCCCAAGTGCTGGGATTAAAGGCATGCACCACCATGCCTGGCTGTTTCTGGGGTTTTTTGTAGCTGTTTTGAGACAAGGTTTTAGTAGCACAGGCTTGCCTGGTACTCTCTACATAGCTCAGGCTGGCCTTAAACTCAAGATGTTTCTGCCTTAGCCTCCAGAATGTTAGGATTACAGGGGTGAGCCATCATGCCCAGCCCCCTGGGATTGGGGGGCAGTGTTTCGTCCACACACATGCACGTGATTACGTATATAAAATTGGAGGAGGGGAGATGGTAGTGTATAATGCATTAACTATATTGTGTTTTGTGGCTGGCTACATTTACAAAGCATGTCTCTTTTTGTTATTATTGGTTTGTTTGTTTTTTGAGACAGTTTCTGTAGCTTAAGTTGCCTTTGAACTCAAGGCAGTCCCCCTGCCTTTGGATTTACACATGTGCACGAGGAAGCCTGGCTTCATAGCATATTTCTGAGGCTCATTTGCTGTAGCCAACAACAACAACAAAGTCTCATTAGTACCAAACCATTCCCATCACCTCAGAAGAAATTCTGAAAGTCACTCCTTGTTCTCAGCCCCTGACAACTAGTAATCTCCCTCTCTCAATTTGTGTATGCCTAATGTTTCATTTAAATAGAATCAGAAATGACTTAGTAGGTAAAGGTGATTGCCACCAAACCTGACAACCCGAGTTTGATCCCTGAGATCCATGTGGCAGAATGAGGTCTGACTCCTACAAGTTTTCTTCTGACCTCCACATGTGCACACACATATGTACACACAAACACACACACAAAATAAATAAATGTTTAAAAATTCTTTAAAATAGAATCATGGGTCTGAAGAGATGGCTTAGCAGTTAAGAGAGTACACTGTTCTGGGAAAAGACCCAAGTTTCATTCCCAGCACCAATGTCAGGTGGCTCGAAACCTCTTGTACTTCAACTCCATAGGATCCAGTGTCCTCTTCTGGCCTTCATAGGTAACTGCATTTGTATGTACATAACTCCACACAGAGAGATGTGCACATAATTAAAAATAAATAGATCTTTAAAAAATCAAACTATATGCCAGGCATGGTGGCACACACCTTTACTCCTGGGACCTGGGCAAGGGCAAGCGGGTCATTGACAGACAGCTTGCTTTACGTTGCAGTTCCAGGCCAGCCAGGACTACATAGTGAGACCCTGTCTCAAAAAACAAACAAGCTAGGCATGGTGGTGCATGCCTTTAATCTCAAGTGCCCAAGTAATATTCTGTTTGGCTGTCATTTGTTCATTGTTCATCAATCAGTGGGCATTCAACTTGTCTCCACCTTTTGGGCATTATTACTAATGCTACTGTGAGCATCTAGGTAAAGTTTTGGTCTAGACTATCTTTGGGTACATACCTAGGAATGAAATTACTGAATCATGTGGCCATGCTTAACCATTTGAGAAGCTCCCAAACTGTTTCCAAAGTGGCTGCACAATTTTCCACTCCCACCTGCAGGGGAGGGTTCTCATTTCTCTTGTGTCCTCTCCAGCTTTCCATCTGTCTTTAACATTTACCTTTGTACTGCTATCTTACACTTTTGTAATTGTGCAGTTTTATCAGTCCAGAAAACTTTATTAAAGGCCACAGATTTCATACTTGATTTTATTTTTGTGGTTTCAGGGATCAAATTGAGGGTCTTGAGCATGCTAGGCAACCACTCTAGTACTAAGCTCCACCCCCAGCTTCTGCCCATGTTTGTTTTGTTTTGGTTTTTTGTTTTTGGAGATAGGATTTCCCTATAGTCCTCACTGGCCTGAAACTGACTTTGTAGACCAGGCTCACCTCTGGAGTGCTGAAATTAAAGGCATGTGCCACTTCCGGCTCTTGTTTTTTGAGACAGTATCTCATTTTGTAGCTTGGCTGGACTAGAACTCACAGAGATCTGCCTGTCTCTGCCTCTACCTCTTGGAGCCCGTGATTAAAGGTGGTGCGCTATCACACCTGGCTCCATGTTAATTTTTCAAACTTTTTTTTTTTTTTTTTTTCTTGGTCTTTTTGAGGCAGGGTCTCCCTGTAGTCACAGCTGGCCTGGATTCGCTATGGAGACCAGGCTGGCCTTGAACTCAAAGAGATCCACCTGCCTCTGCCTCCTAAGTGCTGGGACTAAAGGTGTGCATCACCCTGCCCAGCTCAAACTTTTTTTTCAAGTGTGTATGAGTATATTACCTGCATGTATTGTAAGTACACCCGTGTGATGCAGTGCCCATGGAGGTCAGAAGAGGGTGTCAGATTCCCCTGAAACTAGAGTTATGGACAGTTGTTAGTTACCATGTGGGTGCTAGGAATCGAATCCAGTCCTCTGCAAGAGCAGCCAATGCTGCTGAACCAACTCTCTAGCCCCTGTCTTAATTTTTTTAAATAAATGAAGTTTGCCTTTATTTTCAAAACAGAAAACAACAGATATGTTGTCTATTTCCTTGCTGTATTGTAGATATGATCATCAGAGAAGACCAGCTTAAACCTGGCATTGTAGTTGGCAGTTCTGTATAGTATGGTGGTAGAATTTGATAGGAAAAAACTAAAAGACTAAATTGCTGGACTGATGTTGAGCAAAACTCCACATAATGAGTTGGAGGCCATCCCTGGGCTACATGACATTCTGTCTTAACTTCTCCCACCCTGTAATTTTTTTCCTGTCATTCAAAGAGATCACTTTCTGACTAGCCAACTATTAGTCGATCCAATACTTTTTGTGATTGCAGTGTTAAAGTTTGACTGTCATGTTGTGGTTTGACCAGGGCTGTGAGATGCTAGGCAAATGTTCTACCACTGAGTCACATTCCCAGCCCTGAACTATTTACTGCTGCTCACAAGCATGTTCCTACCCTCACTTTCTTGGTTCTTTTCTCTTGTCATCAGATCTATTAAGGTGGATTACTGTCATCTTCTTTTTGCCTGATAGGTTCTTTATTCCTTGTGGTCTATTTGGGGATCCTGTGGCAGTGATGGGTGAAACATTGAAAGACTGTAGGAAGACCAGAGATAAAATGAGTTCTGCCTTACACAGAGAACAACAGTAAATATGGCACTTCATGCCAGACACCTTTTCTTTTTTAAATCTTTACCAGAGAGACTGGAACGGGAAGCTGAAGAGGAACGAATACGGAAGCACAAGGCAGCTGCCGAGAAGGCTTTCCAGGAAGGAATTGCCAAGGCAAAACTTGTTTTGCGCAGGACACCTCTTGGTACAGATCGAAACCATAATAGGTAAGTTGCTCAATTTCTTTTGTTTTGTGGGGTTATTGCAGTTGTTACTAGTTATAAAGCTAGACTAGAAAGCAACTTTGCTGTTCAGTTTTTCAATTCTGTTTGTAGGCATTATTGCTCATTGTTTCTTTTTTGGGGAGGGGGGTCTTTTTGAGACAGGGTCTCCCTGTAGCCCCAACTGTCCTCGAACTCACTGTGTAGAACAGGCTGGCCTTGAACTCACAGAGATGCCTGCCTCTGCCTCTGAGTGCTGGGATTAAAGGCGGGAGCCACCACGCCCAGCTGCTCCTTGTTTCTTTATTGACTGTTAATAGTGCAAAGGTTACAAAGATACATAGGACCAGCTCTAGGCTAGGATGTAGCTTGTGGTAGAGTTCTTGACTAGCATACAGAAGTCCTGGGTTCTATTTCTAGTGCTGCTTTAAAAAGAAAAAAGGCCTGGTTCTTGAAGATACCACAGATGGGAAACAAATTATGCTACCACATGAAATGTAATCCTAATAGTTCTTTTAATATTATATGCATTTTATAATTTTTTAAAACTTTTTATTTTTAAGTGTATGAGTGCATTGCCTGCATGTATGTGAGTGCAACCGTGTCGTGCAATGCCACGGAGATCAGAAGAGGGCTTTGGATTCCCCTGGAACTGGAGCTAAGGACAGTTCATAGCCACCATATGGGTGCTAGGAATCGAAACCTGGGTCCTCTGCAAAAACAGCCAGCGCTCTCAGCTGCTGAGCCATCTGTCCAGCCCTAATATTTTATGCATTTTAAAATGCATGCATGGTGCGGAACCTGAAGATAGAGAAATCAAAGTTACAAAAGTCACAGACATTAAATGAATCCCAGATTCCAAGACATTTTGGTTGCCTTCTGCCTTCCTTTATAATTTTTTTCTATGTAGATCTCTGAGGAAGTAGCTTTCAGCTGTGATCATTGCATATGCTCTGTAGGCAGCCTCCCTGTCTCCCATCATTAATTCACAGTTGTGATTTGTAGATACTGGCTCTTCTCAAATGAAGTCCCAGGATTGTTCATTGAGAAAGGCTGGGTGCACAACAGCATCGACTACCGGTTCAAGCATCACCGCAAAGACCACACTAACTCCCCTGATGAGGATTACTGTCCCCGAAGTAAGTATATCTACTGCAGGCCCTGATGACTTGTTTGGTGTAGGGAGTGTGTCCTGTCAGCCTGTCACAGGTGGAGGTATTTATGTCCAGAATGTATCAAGTAAGCCTGACCTGCTGAGCAGCACAGCACTGTGAAGTACCCAGTTTGCCCTTGTGGGTGGTTGCCCAAGGACTATGGCTCTGCCACTGCACACCATAGCCAGAGAAAATAGTCCTGCACATTGCTGGCTGGGGAAAAGATCCACATTTGAAGTTCTGTTGAATGTGTATTGACTTCCTCCATTGTAAAGCTGAAAAATTTGAAGTTGAAATATTTTTATCTGTTTGAAATGTAGTCTTGCTATAGCTCAGGCTGGCCTAGAACTCTTGATTCTCTGGCCTCAATCTCTTGAGTGCTGGGGTTACAGGTATGCTCACTCCTCTACTCTTGCCTTTGAAATAATTTAAGTAGAGGACTACAAAACTAACTCATGTAGGATAGACCTGAATGACTGCCCTTTTCTGTCTGTCACCTATTCCCTTTGCAAATTTTCTTTATTGCCACCCTGGCTGCTGAGTAAGCTTGGTAAATGTGGATGCACAGAGAGCAGGAAAGAACCCAGCATCTAATTAGCAGCCTTGCTCACAGCATAGTGAAATGAGAGAGCAAGTATGTGCTTGGGCAGTAGGTTTTGTGGAAGTGGTTTGCAAATTTTCCTTTTGGAAATAACTGTAGGTGCCTCAAAGGCTCTAGAATTGAGGTAGGAGACTGAGGAAGCCGAGTTGTATGCTCTTTTTTGTCTTTTTGAGACAAGGTCTCCCTGTAGCCCCAGCTGTCCTGGAACTCACTATGTAGATCAGGCTGGCCTTGAACTCACAGAGATCCGCCTGCCTCTGCCTCCAGAGTGCTGGGATTAAAGGCATGCATCACCACGCCCAGCTGCTTTTTAAATTAATTGTTCGATATTTATAAAATATGTTATACAAAGCAGATTTTAATATGCTGGAGATTTGACAGCAAGCAAGACAGGTGAGGTCCTGAGTGTCACTTAACCACAATACTAGGAAAGAAAAGGTAGGCAGTAGCTAGTTAAAAGTAGTGAAATATTTAGGAGCTGTAGGATTGTCAATTTGAGTCCAGCCCGGGCTATATTAGTAAGGGAGGAGTATGACTGAGACTTGGGCACAGTATCAGGAGTCTGTAATCACAGTTTCTTGGGAGGTAGAGACAGGAGGATTGCTTGAGCCTAGTAGTTGAACTGGACAAGACAGGGAGACACCACCTTGTACCCTCTTCCTTTTTGAGGTGGGTTCTCACATAGCCTGAACTGGCCTTGAACTCTTGATGTAGCTGAGGATAACTCTGAACTCCTGATTCTCCCGCATCTGCCTCCCAAATTGCTGGGATTGCAGGCATGCAACACCTTCCTTGATTTTTATTCTCTTTTTAAAATAAGTTTTAAAAGAGTGACTTAGGACCAGGCTTGGTGGCGCACACCGTTAGTTGCAGCACTGGGGGATTCAAGGCCAGCCAGATCTACATAGCAAGTTCCAGGCCAGCTGAGGACCTGTATAGTGAAACCCTGTCTTTAAAAACAGAAAGTGACACCGGATGTGGTAGCACATGCCTTTAATCCCAGCACTTGGGAGGCAGAGGCAGGCAGATCTCTGTGAGTTCGAGGCCAGCCTGGTCTACATTGCAAGTTCAGGTCAGCTGGGCTACAGGGAGACCCTGTCTCAAAAAGACCCAAAGGGAAAAAAAAAAAAAGCAGAAAGTGACTTAGGGCCTCACCAACACTGGGAAGACAGAGACAGGGTCATGAAGAGGCATTGATAATATTCTTGATCTAGATACTGGTTAGGAGGTATGTTCAGTTGATAAAATAAATGCAAGTGCACTTTTCTGGATAGATAGGTTTTTTCTTTCTTGAATTTGTGTGTGTGTGTGTATTGAACATATTCAAGAATGAAAGAAAGCATGTGGTGGCACACTCCTTTAATCCCAGCACTCGGGAGGCAGAGGCAGGCAGATCTCTGTGAATTCTAAGGCCAGCCTATTCTACATAGCTAGTTCCAGGCCTGCTGGGGCTACAGGGAGACCCTGTCTCAGACAAAAAGAAAAGAAAAACTTTCTTAAATTGGGTGCTTGGGTTGGGTAGTTTCTTTGTAGTGAGAACAATTCTGTTCTTTAATAGGGCATTTAACAGCATCTTCATCTCTACCCACTAGATGTCAGTAGCTGGGACTCAGAGTCTCCAGACATTGCTAATGTCCTCTACAGGCAGCTCTGATCCCTGTTGAGAGCCACAGGGTTAGTATAGCCTAATGAAGATTATATCTCATGTATTGTACTTCTTTAGAAGTATTTTTTTAAGGGGCTGGAGAGATGGCTCACCAGTTAAGAACACTGGTGGTTCTTGCAGAAGACCTGGGTAGAAATCCAGCACCCACATGGCAGCTAATGACTGTCCGTCCGTAACTCCAGTCCCAGGGGATCCAACAGCCTCTTGTGACCTCCGAGGGCATTGCATGACATGGGTGCACTTACCGACATGCAGGCAGTACACACACATAAAATAAAAATAATAAAAAAATTTTTAAAGTATTTTTTAAAGTAGTTATTGATTGTAGAGAGACCCTAACACAAACTTCATAGAAAGTTATATAATAATAAGAAATCATTTTTATATAGCCCAAACATTAAATTTAAGGATTTTTCCATGTTAAATTACACCAAGTGTAGCTATTATCACCTTGTAGAAAAGTTTGGTTTGGTTGGACTTCCCAAATTTGTGAGGCAGTTACATTAGAGAGCAGTTGGCTAGAGTCAGGCTCTTCACACTTGGATGATTCCCACAGGGGGATTGTTTGACACCATGTATTTCGAAAGCTGACCCTCTAGAGCATTCTAGTGGATTTTAAAGATTTATATATTTTTATTTTATGTATATGAGTATATTGCCTATATGTGTGTTAGTGCACCCATGTCGTGCAGTGCCCAGAAAGGTCAGAAGAAGGCATCAAATTCCCCTAGAATCTGGAGTTACAGATGGTTTTTAGCTGCCGTGTGAGTACTGGGAATTGAACCCAGGTCCTCTGTAAGAGCAGTCAGTGCTCGTAACTGCTGAGCCATCTCTACAGCCCTTATTTTTTATTTTATGTGTGTGTTTTGTCTACGTGTACATACGTGAATTATATGGGTGCCTGTGCCTTTAAAGGTCAGGTGAGGGCTTCAGTTGCTTGGATCTGGAGCTGCTTATTATTATATTTATTTATTTGTGTGGTTTGTAATGTGAGTGGGTACGTGAGCGTGGAGATCAGAGGACAACTTATTGAAGTCAGTTCTTGTAAGTATGTTGGTCCCAGGGATTGAGCTCATGATAGCGGGCATCTTTACCTCCTGGGCCATTTTGCTTGCCGGTAGTGGATTTTTCCATTTATTTATTACAATTTTTATACAGTTGTTATTGTAGTCTACACAGGATTAGAATTAGATTTTCCTCTATAATGTATTGTGTATTATATAATAGTCTTATGTAGTATTAGAAATGCTCCTGAATCTAGGAACAGAAGTACTTTAGATATTTAATTTTATTAATTAAAATTTATGAATTTGATTATAAAACATGTCCTATGTTTAATAGGCAGAATCTGTGTATTAGTTGTTGGGCTCAGTGTGAGGTACTATTGTTTAATGAGTAGTTAGGTTTTTAATGTTTTCAATTTAATGTTTGCATTTTTTCTTAGGTAAGAAAGCAAACTTGGGCAAAAATGCAAGTGTGATTACACACCATGGGTCTTCACTAGAAGCTGCTGTGGAGACCACGGTGCCCAAGCAAGGACAGAACCTGTGGTAATTGGAACAGCCTTTTGCTTGCTCTTTCTTTTCTTTCAAATGTTAAGGAAGAAAATATTTAATATAGTGACATTAAGGACATTTTGTGTCACTTTGGTTTCTTATATATCAAAACTCCTGACTGGGCTGGGGATGTGGCTCCATTGGTAGAGTGCTTGCCTACCATGCATGGAGCCCTGGGTTCTATCTCCAGCACCAGATAAACTGGGTATGGTGGTACATGCCTGTAATTCCAGCCCTTAGAGGGATTGAAGCAGGAGGATCAGGAGTTAAGTCCTGGGTTACGTATCAAGTACAAGGCTAGCCTGGACTACATGAGACCCTGTTTCAAAAAGGAAAACAAACCACTGTTTTAATACCAGATCTTTTGATAAACAGCTGTTTTCCTTAAAGTTTACAATTGATCCCTTCCCACTTTGTGATAGTTTGGGTTCTGTTGCTGTAATTAACACAATGACCAAAAGCAAGCAACTTGGGGAAGAGAGGGTTTATTTTAGCTTACAGTAGTGCATCATTGAGGGAATTCAAGGCAGGAACTGAAGCAGAGGTCATGGAAGAATGCTGCTTACTGGTTTGCTCCCCAACACACATTCAGCTACCTTTCTTATACAGCCCAGGCCCACCTGCCTACGGATGGCACCACTCACAGTGGTCTAGGGCTTCCTGTGTCAATTAACATTCAAGAAAATGCCCCACAGACATGCCCACAGGCCAGTCTAATAAAGGAAATTCCTCATTTAACAGCCAGCATTAGCCATCACATTATGTGCTATTTTTTTCCTCTTGAAATAGGGTCTCATTCTGTAACTCAGGCTGGCCTGGAACTCACTGTGCAGCCCATGTTAATCTGGCTTTGTTCAATGCCAGTCTTCCTGCCTCAGTATCCTGACTGCTAAGATTACCATGTGAACCTCTGAGTCTGCTCTGTAATGGCACTTAGGTAGCATTGACATCCTTCTGAATCTGTTTGAGAATACCAGGTGTTTGGAATTTTTCTTAAAATTTATAATTTTGGTGGTTATACTTTACAAACCACATGAAAGTTAAAATTAAGATACATAATGCCTTTATTAAGTAAATTTTACATTAAAAATTTTATGCATGGCCATTGGGTCTCCATTTATGTACAGTTTTGCATTTTGGGCATGGATTTGTGTTTTAGGAGAGTCTCTTGACTTGAAAAAAGTTGATTGCAATCACCTGTATCTTAGTGAGCTACTTTCTTTTACTTTGGGGTATAAATATACTTTTTGAAATTGTATAGCAAGTGTTCCATTGCCTCTGTACTTAGTTTGTAGCAGGAGGCGTTGGCTCCCATACCTAGGATTAAAGCTAGCATTAGGCTTGTGGGATAGCAAATTGTCTGTTTTGCTGGTGACTACCAGACAGCATGCACAGTTTGGAAGTCTGCATTTTTCACTTTTTGCCAACCCAAGACCCTCAAGTTGCTGCATTTATGTTCTTCATAGTTCGGAGGTCTGTTCTGTTTCTACAGGTTCTTATGTGACAGTCAGAAGGAGCTGGATGAGCTGCTAGACTGCCTTCACCCTCAGGGAGTAAGAGAGAGTCAGCTGAAAGAGAGACTGGAGAAGAAGTAAGATTTCCTTTTAATCCATCTTCTCTCAGTGTGAGCCCCAATGTCTGAGCAATGTATGGAGCCCTGGCTGACCTGAAATGCCTGTGTAGACCAGGTTGGCCTAGAACTCAGTGATCCTGCCTTTGCCTCCCAAGTGCTGGGATTAGCTACCATACCTGGCAGCTTTTCGCTTTTTTTTTTTTTTTTTTTTTTTTTTTTTTTTGGTTTGGACTTGCTTGTATGAGACAGAGTCTCCTGTAGCTCAGGCTGGCCTTGAATACACTGTGTAACTAAGAATGACCTTCAGCTCATGAGCCTCCTCCCTCCACCCTCTGAGTGCTAGTGTGGAGCAGTGCCTGTGTGGAGCACTTGGTTAGAGCTGTGTCCCACCATGCCTGCTTCTTGATAAGCTATTAAAATAAACATAAAACTGATTGGTAAATGGCCAAAATGTATGTCCAAACAGTGTAGCATTGTTCACCCACAGAAAGGAGTAAAGCACTGATTTATGCCCCCACTTGGGTTAGTGTAGGGAACATGGGCTAAATAAAAGAAGCCAGGTATAAAGTACCACATGTTGTCTGATTCTATTTTTGTAAAGCATCAACTTCCAGAATGGGACAACACAGAGACAGAATAGATTATTGACTGCCACAGAGTGAGGAAGTATCTCCAAAGTTTCTTTACTCCTCCTCTTTCCTTGCCCTAACTCTTGTAGGTACCATGAGATCACTCACTCTATTTATCTGGCTCGGAAGCCAAATTTGGGTCTAAAATCCTGTGATGGCAACCAGGAGCTCTTAAACTTTCTCCGGAGTGATCTCATTGAAGTCGCCACCAGGCTGCAGAAAGGAGGACTTGGCTACATGGAAGAAACGTCAGAGTTTGAAGCCCGGGTGAGAGTGTGGGAAACACCCTGAAAGCTGTCACTCACAGAACTTAGTTTGGAATTGTTCTGGAGACAGTGTCCTACTTGCAAGATAACATTAGAAATTGAGTTTAGTTTTGTTTTGAAAAATACACGTTGAACCAAAAAGTCTTTCGTGTACAATGTTTTTCTTTGTCATCTTTTTTATTTGGGAAGTATCTATGAGGAAACAGGCTAAATCTAGGCCTACTTCTTGCTGCCATTGGGTTATTTTTATTTCTGGCTTTATTTATTTATTTATTTATTTAGTATTTGAGACAGGGTCTTCCTGTAGCCCCAGTTGGCCTGGAACTCACTATATAGACCTCAGTCTCATGGAGATCCACCTGGGATTAAAAGTGTGTTCCACACCCAACCTTTTTTTTTTCCCCTTTTAGTTGGTATGCATCCTGTGACTTATAAGATAGCATACAATGCTTAAGAACATGATTTTGAGAGCTGGAAAGATGACTCAGTGGTTAAGATCACTTGCTGCTCTTGCAGAGTTCAGTGTCTTAACACCCTTGTCAGGCAGGTTCCAACCACCTGTTAACTCCAACCACCTGTTAACTCTAGCTCCAAGGGATCTGATGCCCTCTTCTGGCCTCGGGGCACTGCATACATGTGCACATACCCATATATATATAGACACAAACTCTTACATATAATAAAAAATAAATCCTGCCGGGCGTGGTGGCGCACACCTGTAGTCCCAGCACTTGGGAGGCAGAGGCAGGTGGATCTCTGTGAGTTCAAGGCCAGCCTGGTCTACATAGTTACAGGGAGACCAAAAAAAAAAAAAAAAAAAAAAAAAAAAAAAAAAAAAAAGAAATGGGCCTGAAGAGATGGCTCAGTGGTTAAGAGCACTGCCTACTCTTGCAGAGGACCCAGGTTCATTTCCTAGCATCCACATGGCAGCTAGCAACCATCTGTAACTCTAGTTCCAAGGGATCCAGTACTCTATGGGTACTGAAGGCACATATATGCATGCAGGCAAGCAGTCATACACATAAAATGAAAGTAAATAAATCTTTTTTAAACATTTAAAAGAACCTAATTTTGGTAGTGGTTTTAGTGCCTCTCCCATCCATAAAATAGATATGTGGCTTGACGGAGGTGGAATATGACAAACTCGGTGCCTGACGTCATCCAGAAAACCAGGAATACTTGTCTTTGCTTTTCTCTTATATTTCTGGTTTTAATTATATGGTGCTGGGATTTGAACCCACAGTTTCACAAATGCCAGATGCACATATACTCTGTGCTGAGCTCTGCCCTCAGCTCTCTCAGTTTGTGTGCATGGTAATAACTAAAGGATGAAATTTCAGTGTTCTGTGGGTTGTTTCACTAGGGACATGGAATTCACCAACTTTTAAATATCCAGTCCTGGTAATTGGTGTGCAGGTAGCTTCCCTATGTGACTGACTGATGTTTGAGTCATGGCTGCTAGGAATGTAAAGTCAGACTTCTCTCTCCTTCCTCTTGTCTTCTCAGTTTCATTTTTTAATCCTTCCCTGTAGGTTGTTAACTTAGAGAAACTGAAGGATTTTGGTGAGTGTGTCATTGCTCTTCAAGCTAGTGTCATAAAGAAATTTCTCCAAGGCTTTATGGCTCCCAAGCAAAAGAGAAGGAAACTCCAAAGTGAAGATTCCACAAAAACAGAGGAAGTGGATGAAGAGAAGAAAATGGCCGAGGAAGCAAAGGTATTCAGTTATTGAAGGTGCAGTTTATGATTATGCACAGTAAAGGAATGCTATTTGGTTTGAAAGCAGTCAAACCGTGTGTTTTTTAGCCACTTGTAAGCATTGTACCCTGAGCCAGCATTCCTTTTTTTCAGAACAATAATTTTCTACTGCATTTGTTTCCAGACAGGCCTATGGATGACAGGTGTATCCCTGGGTTGTGGGTGATGGTATGGCAAGTGTGTTCTCTGCACTTTGACCAGAGTTTGCATCATTCTTCTCTAAAGGTGGTAGTGGTGCCTTTCAAGTATTTTTTTAAAGTTGTCTTCAAATAAGGTGACACCAACTTTGCCGTTTCTATGTGTACAGTTCTGTGGCATTAACTGTAGACAGGTGTGCAAACCACCCATTAAGTTCCCCATTTCTTCTCAACCCTGGCAGCCACCATTTTCTTTCTGTCTCTGAATTTGGCTCCTGTAGGCCCCTCATTAAGTAAAACTATACATGAAGTACCACTGTGACAGGCAACACGTTTCTCTTAGAGCTGGTTTTATTCATGTTGTACCCAGAATTTCCTTTGAAGGCCAAGCACTGATTTCATTGTTTGTTAAGCCCTTTTGGTACTCTGAAAACTTGTGAGACATGGCAGCTCCTTTCATAGACAGAAACCACACACATTTCTTAGCATACCATGTGTCCCCACTTTATCTACCCGGTAATGGCACTCACATTCTTCTACCTTCTGTCTGGTGAGAGTCTTGAAGCTGTAAGCATGGAGTGCAGGTATCTTCTCAGGTGCTTTTGGTTCTTTTTAGGGCATGCCATATCCAAGCCAAAACAGTTCTCACCACATAAAGAGAAAAAGTGATAGCTTATTCTGGGGTCAAATATGAGTGACCATGGCCCAGGACCACAGATTTAGGTTACTGTAAATGCCATGTTTCCATGTGGTGACAGATTTTTTTTTTTCCCCATGAAGTTTTTATAGTAAGAGAACAAAGGTTTAAATCAAGGCATTAAAAAAAAAAAAATACATTGGTGGAAATATAAGTTAGTGGGTCACTGCAAAGTGGGCAAGTCTCTGCTGAAGGCTTCAAATACTGTCTGATTACATTTTCAGTCTTTGGGTGGGTAGAAGGTAGGATTCTGTTTGTATATTCCAAAGGATTTACCTGAGAGTCACAGGGATATTAGGTCCCACATAGACATGGGCAATGCATGACTCTTCAGGAACTAAAGATAGCCCAAGAGAATTTGACTCCTAGTCTGCATCATTCCTGTTCCACACCATCACAGGCACAGAGTCAATCAGGCCTCAAGAATGGTTAAAATAGGTGTGACTTTATTTCTGGGAACTTCAGTTGACAACCAAAAGGTTGGAATTGCTAGATCATACGATCTTTCACTTGCTGAAGGACCAACTTCTACCATTCTTGTGACCATCAACTGCTCAGACAGCAGCCATATCATTCCCACCAGCAGTGTACAGGGCTCCTGTGTCTCCAGGTCCTTGCCAACACCAGTGTTACCTTTTTTTCTTATTCTGAGACAGGGTCTCTATGTCTTTTCAGTCTGAACTCATGACAATGTTCCTGCCTCGTTCATTCTAGTGCTGGTATTCTAGGCATGTGCCACTGTGCTTTGACTTGTTTAGTTTTCTTAAATAAAGCAAGGATGAGTTTGAGGAGTTGCATACATACAAGGTTTCAGGTAGGTCCCAGGCTTACCTAGAGCTGGAAATTCACGTGCCTCAGCCTTCTTACATGCTGAGACTACAGGCCCAGGCCACCATTCCCAGCAAATTTTATTTATGTATTATGTTCCTTAGTTATCACTCATCAAAATATTCTGGATACTGTTTCTTCTCTGTTAGTCTATGTCAATCTACCTGCTGTGTTTGTGGAGAGGTTGCAGTACTAAGTGTCAAACCCAGGTCCTCACAGGATAGACCAGTACTCCACCACTAAGCCACGCTTCTAGAAGGTCCATGTTTGTTTTTTAGCATCTGTTTTACTAGTAAGCATGGAGTTTATCCTCTTTTTCCCTTTTTCTTTTTTGTTTTGTTTCATCTTTTTTGATACAGGGTCTCCCTGTAAGCCTCAGCTCTCCTGGAACTCACTAAGTAGACCAGGCTGGCTTTGAACTCACAGAGATCTGCCTGCCTCTACCTCCCAAGTGCTAAAGATGTGCACCACCACTCCTGGTTCTCTTTTCCTTTTTGTTTGAGACAGGGTTACTGTGTAGCTCAAGCTGGCCTGGAACTTGTGATCCTCCTGCCTTAACTTCCCAAGTAGTGGGAGCACAGGCATGCACCACCACACCTAACTTTCCATCCTTTATTAGGATAATTGGCAGTTCCAGTTTTGTGTATTTTGCATATTAGATTGCTGCTTGTCAAGAAAAGGATTTGAGAGGTCCCAGCCATTATCCAGCATACCTGGATATACCTACCCTAATTTCAGATTTCTCTTGCCTCCTCTTTTCACAAACTCACAGGCAGCGCACCTGTGCTCTGTCTGGGGCACTTAGGGAGCTGTGTCCAAGTTGTGTGTCCTGGCTTCAGGGAACCTGGTTTGGGGTGTGAGAATGAGAAGCAGGGAGGCAGTCACAGGATTGGACAAGTTCAGATGTTGCTTCAGTTACCATGGTTAGGTTCTGACGGATCAATAAACGTTGGATACAGTACAGTGGAAGGTGCACATAGCTCAGCAACACAGGAGGCTATGCAGCCCTTGTTGTTTCCCCTTGCAACTATGTGACCATCTGATTGCTATGGCTTCCTGCTTCTATCAGTGTTTCACTAGAGAGCATTGTGCTGTGTCATCACTAGCTCAAGAAATGGAAGTTTGCACAGTAGGATTTTTACTGAATGAAGATCCCTTTTATACCCTTAGAAGGCAAGCCATAAAATTCAGGCTGCCTGTGCTGATGAGGAATGGCCAGGGTGACTTGTGAGGAGAACCTGGGGCAGTTAGAGCTTCTCAGCAGCAAGAATGAGAGCTAGGTTCCGAAGAAAAAAATAATTAAGTCTTTAAGTACAGATTAAACTGAAAATGGCCCTTTGACAATAGGCCTAGTTTTCTTCCTTTGTTTTTATCTGTTTTTGTTTTGAGACAGGGTCTTATGTCACCTGGGCTAGCCTTGAACCTCTTTCTAACTCCCTCTCCCAAGTTCTGGGTTTATAGGCAAGCATCACCAGCCAGGTAGTTTTTATTTTTGATTTGTTTGTTTGTGGGTTTTGAGATTGGATACCACAGCTGGCCCAGAATTCATTGTGTAGACCAGGCTGGCCTCCATCTCACAAAGATATGCCTGCTTCTGCCTCCCAAGTGCTAGGATTAAAGACATGCACTGCTACTTCTGGCTAACACCTCAGTTTGTACACAGTAGTTTGGATTTCCCTTACTTTTCTTCCTTAGGCCACAGGTGATTCAAGGAGGCTCACTTGGGATAAGAGCCTTTTAGGAAAAGGTTTTAATTCACAACTTTGGGACTCTCCACATCTGTCAGTATCTTACTAGGACAGTCCTCTTTGTGTTTTATGTTTGGGGTGCATGTATATGGAAGCACGAGGTACAAGGTCAAGTACAGTTGGGCTAGACTGACTGGTCCTCAAGCTCCAGGGACCCTCCTGCCTGTCCTCCACAGTGCCCTAAGTATAGTGTGCACCGCCACACTGCCTTACTAAATGCTATATACGTTTTGTTTTTAACTCAAGTTTTTTGTTTTACTCTTTATTACTTTGAGAGAGACAGAGAATATGCTTTTATGCCATGGTGTGCATTTGGAACTCAGAGGAAAACTTGTTGGTCCTGGGGGTAGAACTCAGGTCATCAGGCTTGATGGCAAGCACCTTTACTCTGGGAGCCATGTCACCCCCTAACTTGGTTTTGTAGAGACTCTTCCTCTTTCCTTGCCATTTATTTTTTTCTGCAATGTTTTCTTCTCCCTGAGGACTAACAGGTAATTAGGTCCCATCAAAGTCCTTTTGTGTCCTAAACACTGAATGAAGTAAAGTGTGAGCCTTATGGATCTGGACATGGAGCAGAGGAATGGAGAGCTTCTTGGAAAATGAGTTAGGCTGCCTGCCCAGCAGTGTAGCTGTGCTCTGTGCTAGCTGTGTCCTGTCCTGCCCTGGAGTTCCCACCAGAGCTTGAAATTTTCCACTGTCCTCTGCTGTGAAAGTTTCCACTTGGCAAAGGCCAGGGCTTCTTTGACTGGCACCACGCCGGTGCATGAGTTTATATCAGTCTCATCTGGGCTCCAGTTTCCTAGGTTCTGAGATTGTCTCAGATCCCTTTTGCAGTAACGGCTTATCTAGGATATTTATTTATTTATTTATTTTTGGTCTTTTTGAGACAGGGTCTCCCTGTAGCCCCAGCTGACCTGGAACTCACAGAGATCCGCCCACCTCTGCCTCCCAAGTGCTGGGATTAAAGGCATGCACCACTAAGCCTGGCTAGGTTATTATTTTTAAATTTTATTTATTTTTTTGTGTGTGAGTATGCCTGTTTCTATGTGCACCAAGTGCATCTATTACCTATGATGGCCAGAAGAGCATGTCAGGGCCCCTGGAACTGGAATTACAGGTAGTTGTAAGCTGTCATGTAGGTTCTGGGAACCAAACCTGGGTCCTCTACAGAGTAGCAAATGCTTTTAACTGCTGAGCCATCTCTTCAGCCCTGATCTGTGATAATTAATACCTCTTTTGTTTCCTTAAATTAAGTGAGAAAAATAATGTATAATTTGGCAAAATCCTGGGTTTTGTGTGGTGTCCTGTCACCCCACACCCCCCTTCCCTAAGCTCTCTCTTTTTTGAAACTGAATCATATGGTCCAGACTGGCCTCCAACTCACAATCCTTGTGTGTCAGCCTCTGGAGTATTGGGATGACAGGTGTGTGTCACTATGCCTATGCCCATCTTTGTTTGCTTCTCTTTACCTTGTTTGCATTTGTTCTGATAACCTGATTATTTTTTACTTTTATTTTCTACCTTTTTTTGTTTTTGTTCTGTTTTGTTTTTGAGACAGGGTTTCACTTTAGTCTTGAGCTCTCAGTGATCTTCCTGCTGAAGTGACAGACTTGAGTCATCAGCCTGGCTTAAGTTTATTTATTTATGTGTGTATGTATGTATGTGTGTATGTATGTGTGTGTGTATGTATGTGTGTGTGTGTATGTATGTATGTGTGTGTATGTATGTGTGTATGTATGTATGTATGTGTGTGTGTGTATGTATGTGTGTATGCATGTGTGTATGGGTGATCATGAAAGCCTATGTATGTATGTGTGTGTATGTATGTATGTATGTGTGTGTATGTATGTATTTATTTATTTATTTATTTATTTATTTAGGTCTTTTTGAAGCAGGGTCTCCCTGTAGCCCCAGCTGTCCTGGAACTCACTATGTAGACCAGGCTGGCCTTGAACTCACAGAGATCCGCCTGCCTCTGCCTCCCAAGTGCTGGGACTACAAGCATGTGCCACCACACCTGGCTTATTTTTTTAATTCTATGAATTTGTGAAGTGCAGTATGATAATTAAACGTGTGAATTCAGTGTGTAATGGTCAGATCAGAGTGACCAGCATTTCCTCTCTTGAAGTACTCTTTAAAGATAATTAACACCTAACAATTGTACATATTTATGAGGTACTATGTAATGTTTAAAAGTGTAAGCTGCTTCATGAATTTGATGCAAGGGCCTTGCAGGTGTTTTTTGTGTTGTGTAGGGGCGGGTGTGCTGTCAAAGCTGGCACAGCTTTCCATTTTTCATGATGTTTTGTAGAAGACTCTTGTGAAGCCTTGTCCCATCCCTTCCAAGTCAGAACAGCTGTCTTTCTAACCTTAAGCAAAGGGATTTATAGTAGTTTGACACGTAAGCTCCTTCCTGGAAGTATTCTGTCGCTAACCTGGAGCTCACTGTAAGCATTGCATGCTAGGGAATTGGAATGTTTCATCAGAGTAAGGTGCTTGTTTCACCATCTTGCCAACCCTGAACACCCATTTTGTAAGGGAGAGAGTGGTGTGTTCACCACCAAAATTCTAACTTGAATTAATTGTAATTCAGTTTGCATTTTCTGGTGACGTGGGGAAGCTCAAAGTCCATTACATTGGTAGTGGCTATCCAGATGAATCCTACAACCAACTCAAAAGAGTTTTCATTTGTGTTGGAGGCTCGTGACATAGATGAGAGGAGAGCTTTCTATCAGGTGCACAGCACTTTGAAAGGCTTCGGGAAGCTTTGTGGAGAGAACTTACATTTCAGATCAGTGCTGGAATGGATGGACCTCAATAGGCAAAGTATTACTGGATATTTAGCCGTGCTGTATGCTGTTTTTGAGGCAGGGTCTTCCTGTAGCCCCAGCAGCCCTGGCCTGACCCTCGATATGTAGACTAGCCTGGCCTTGAACTTGAATTCACAGAGAACCGCCTGCCTCTGCCTCCCAACTGCTACGCCACCATGCCTGGCTTTTATTCCTACTTCTAACTGGTGCAACATTCTTACAGGATTTCACTGTTTACCTCCTCTAAGCTTAATCTTTATGTGACCTTTGCCAAGTTTGTTTTTTTTTTTTTGGTCTTCCAATAAAAATGGGTCATTTGACAAAACTAGGAGGCAGATGTCCTCAGAACTCTGGTGTCCTTACCCATCCTCGTCTTCTCTCAGTGTCTGAGGTCATTGTCCTGATGCCAGCTGGTTGGCTCCCTTGCTCTTGCTTAGGTTGCCTCTGCGCTGGAAAAATGGAAGGTGGCAATCCGGGAAGCACAGACCTTTTCCAGAATGCATGTTCTTCTTGGGATGCTTGATGCCTGCATCAAGTGGGACATGTCTGCAGAAAACGCTAGATGCAAAGTGTGTCGGAAGAAAGGTAAGAATTCTGGTCATACCTGCTCATCTGAATGCTTGCGATGAGACTTTCCATCCTTAGGGTCATTTCCCTCTGAAGAAAGTCTGTGTATACACATTTTAAGTGGGGTGGGTGGGTTTTCCCTTTGAAATCTCACACTTACGGATCAGCACATGCTCTCCAGAGTGGATGCTTACTCTTTCAGATTTTCTATGTGAGCAAAATTTGTTAATCTAATTTACAATCCTTTCCTAATCTTAGGACATCAGTGAAGCAAGGTGTGTGCTTCCAGCAGGGGGCAGCCTTTGCATACTGCCTCATACTCAGACTTGGTCCTTCAGCCTTGAGTCCAGAGTAGAGTATTTAGTGATTAACTCCTCCCTGGCAAATACTGCCTTATGAATTAGCTTAGAGCTTAATTTCGAAAGGATGAAAATCTATGTATATTCAATTGCTGTAAAACTGACCCAGAAAGTTGGAAAGAGGGAATTAACCATGTACGATTCGTGCAGTATATATTTTCAAAGAATCCAGATAACCCAGGGACAATGCTGGGCACATATGGAAGCATTTAGGGATCTGAGAACAGCGGGGTTTCCAGCCATCACTTGATTTTTGGTGCCTCTCAGTTAAGTATTAATTGCCGTGGCTAGTCCTTGGTTTCTTTGGGTGGATAAGTTAGATTCATTCCCTAAGCCTTGCCTATTTATTTTCAGAAAACAAGTGCATTTGGGAAAATAAAAATAAAGCAGGGCTAGAGAAATGGCTTAACAGTTAAAAGCACTTGTTGCTCTTCCAGAGGACCTGAGTTTAGTTCCCACCACTTGCATCAAGGGGCTCCAATGCCCTTTTCAGACCTGTATGGGCACCTGCTCGCCTGTGGCATTCATTCACATAGACAGACACATATATGACAAACAAAAGCAGAGGCTGGGAAGGTGACTATACACTTAAAGTGCTTGTGTGCAGACATGAAGATCAGAGCTCTGAACCTAGCACCATAGAGATGCTGGTGGGCATAGTGGACTACCTGTAATTCCAGCCCTTAGGAGGGGGTGACAAGAGATCCCCAGAGCAAATGGCTAGCTAGACTAGCTGTATCAGTGAGCCCTGGGTTCAGTGAGAGACCCTGCCCAAGTATAGAAAGTGAAAAAAAAATCAAAGAGGGTATCCAACATCATCCTCTGGCCTCCACACATGCAAACACATGTACACATGCATGCCACACACATGTGCACATGGAAAAAGCAACTGAGTGCAATGGCAGGCACCCATAATCCCAGCACTTGGGAGATAGAGGTAGGAGATTACCTCAGGTTTCAGACCCAGCCTGAGCTACACAGATCTTGTTTCCCAAAAAAAGAAAAGATGGGACTGAAGAAATGGCTCAGCAGTGAAGATCACTTGCTGCTCTTGCAGAGGACCCAAGTTTTGTTCCCAGCACCCTCATTAGGCAGCAGCTCAGAATCAAATTTAACTCCATATCCAGGTGATCAACTCCTTCCCTCTTCTGAACTCTGTGGCATTTACACACATGGCATGCACTCACGCAGACACATAAATAAAAATAAAAAAGAAGAAAGAGGGAAAAGAACTGTACTGGAGTATGTGTTCTGTGGTGCTGCCAACGGTGCTGTGCAAGTTTGTCTATTTGCAGGTGAGGATGACAAGCTGATCCTGTGTGATGAGTGTAATAAAGCCTTCCACCTGTTTTGTCTGAGGCCGGCTCTCTATGAAGTACCAGATGGTGAGTGGCAGTGTCCAGCTTGCCAGCCTCCTACTGCCAGGCGCAATTCTCGTGGCAGGTGAGAATTTTTCTTTTAAAAATAAATGGATGGGTGTGGCTCAAGATGTAGCTCACTTGGTAGAGTGCTTTCTTAGCATGCATGAAGCTCTGGGTTTGATCCTTAGCACCACAGAAACCAGACATGGTTATCCATGCTTATAATCCCAAGCACTTTGGAGGTAGAGGTAGGAGGATCTGGAGTTCAAGGTCAGCTTTGACTGTTAACATATTCAAGGCCAATCAGGGCTACACGAGACTGCCAAATAAATATAGATAAATTAGATTTAGTTACTTAAACTGAGTGTTTCCTAGGAGCTTTAAGCTTGTTGGGCACAGAGCCTGGTCATTTGTGAGTGCTCTGGTCTGATTGATTGAATGTTGGCATCTCTGCTTTTCACTGTGAGCACCATTCTCTCTCTTGATGCGCTTTCATCTCAAGTGGCAGGGCCTGCTTCTTCAGGCAGTCACCACAGAACATTTCCAGCCAGATGATTGCTTCCCTTTGCATGCCTACAGTTTCCCTTCCCTGTAGTCCACTAGGGCATGAACTTCTCTTCCTCTGTCCTACATGTGTATTAAGTCTTCAGGTAGCATTAATCCCATGTCAGCTGTCATTGATTCACTCTGCCACTCTCCACTTTCTGTGGCACCTGTTGCCTGCCTCTCACCTGGACTTCTTCAGTGGCTTGAGCTCTTCTGCCTCTCCTCCTGTCTGCATCCTCTCACTGGTCACCTGTTGTGAGGTCTGAATAGCATGCCGAATGCAGAGGCCTGTTTACTTTTCTGTTCTAAAACAGTCAAGATTTTTTTTTGCCTCTTAAGCAAAGTGCAAACTCCAGCCCGACTTTTGAGACTCTGACAAATTCAGGTTTTTGAGACCTGGTTCTCCTATCTGTGCTTGTTACAGACTGCTTATTGTTCTTGCCCCTTGTGCTTCCTAGTGTCTGGCAACCTCTCTTTCCAGCACTGCTAACTGGGTAAATTACCCAGGGCTAAGCTAAAGTTGTGTTGCTCTTTTCAGAAGTCCTTACGTCCTTAGAGTGAGTGGCTCCTCCTCTGGGCAGCCTAGCTTTCAGCCTCTAAAACAGTGTTAGTGCCTGCCTCCTGCTTTATGGTTACCTCTGCCTCACACCACCCGGACTGCCAGCATCCTGAAGTAGAGGTGGTGCTTTGTTCTGTACTTGTCAGTACCGCCAAGCCAGTACTTCGGAAAGAGAAGGCACATAGTATTTGCCCAGTTACTGCCATTGCTTTCCACATTGACATTTGAGGTTGTAAAAGGCATCCTTACAGGCACTAGCCTGTCTCTCTTGTGAAGGGGAGAGCTGTTTGATCCTGACCCCACCTTAACATTACTGGGTTAGTGCTCCCTCCATCCCCCAGAGACACTAGACGTGCTACTCTGAAGTGGTAGTGCTGTGGACCAGCTGTTCTGAGCTGGGATTACTGTTGCTTTGTTGTGTGGTCATCTGCAAGCTGTCTCAGCTCCTGGAAGGGGGCCATCAAGGTGCAGTACCACCTGTCAGGACTGTTTGTCCTCTCAATCCACCCCCGTATCAGGACAGCTTTGGTGTCTGAAGTGTTGCCTTATCTGGCTCTTTGTGAGACTGAAGTAGTAGTGTTTAGTATTGCTGCATGCGGGGAGAGAAAGTGCATTTTGTTCTTGTCATTGCCTTTTGTGTCCTGTCTAAACTCTTTGGGGCCGAGTAGAGGGAGGCCTGCTCTTGATGCACAGTAAAAACTGCTGGCCTGGGCTCAAGGTCTCGCCCCTCACTATCTGCTCAGTGTAGTCCATGAGCAGAGCAGCATTGTTGGGATCCTGTGGGGTTTCCACCATTCTCAAGGCCATTCTGAACTAGAATTTATCTCTACTTGGCCTTTCCTCCCCCAGGAATTACACAGAAGAGTCTACCTCTGAGGACAGCGAAGGTGAAGAGAGCATTGAAGAGGAAGAAGTGGAAGATGAGGAGGACATGGAGGAGGAGGAGGAGGAGGACTATGAAGTGGCTGGCTTGCGGTGTAAGTATCCAGCTTGCCAGCATACTTTCTCTTGGTCTCTCAAGCTGACCCAGAAGCCTGGTTGGCAAGAAAAACTTATGTTCTCTCTTGGCTGTGGGTCACTAAGTTGCCATGTGTCTAAATTGGCTTTCAGAATGTCAGGGTAGACAATGGCTCAGCCATTAAGAGCACTGGCTGCTCATCCAGAGGACCCAGCTTCAGGTCCCAGCACCCACATCTGGTGGATCACAACCACCTATAACTCCAGCTTCAGGAGATCTGACACCCTTTGCTAGACTCTGGCACTGCACCACATGCACAGACATACACACATATACAGAATTTAAAATAAAATAAACCTTTAAAAAAAATAAAGATAGCTGGACTTGGTGGCATAAGCTTTTAATCCCAGCACTCAGGAAGCAGAAGCAAGTGGATCTCTGAGATCGAGGCCAGCTACCCTGTCTCAGAAAAGTCAGTCAGGTGCTCGCTTCAGGAACACATATACTAAAATTGGAACGATACAGAGAAGATTAGCATGGCCCCTGCGCAAGGATGACACACAAATTTGTGAAGCATTCTATATTTTTTTTTAAAAAAAGAAAAGTCAGTTAGGGGGAAGGTGGGCTGATGTGCAGAACGTCAGCAAGACAAGGCTGCTGGTCTGCCCCTGAGCATGCATGAGGACAGTAGCTGTCTCCTAGCTGCTGTTTGGGTTATCTGTGAAGCTAATGGCTCCAGTGCCGCCTTTCAACAGCCTCTTCAAGGGCTAGTAGAAAATAGAGCATAGGTCCCAGGAGCATCACAACTCTGAAGGATTGTTCTTGATCTGAGGAGCGAGCAGGTGTTTGGCATGACTATTCCCTACTGCAGGGTGCCTCATCTGTCTGTGGGTTCCAGCCTTTATTCCCCTCCTGATTGCTGCCGTCCTCCCTCACATACCAGAGGGTCACTGCATGATCCTCCCATCCGTGCATGGCCCCTTCTGTTTTGGTTTGGTTTGGTTTGGTTTAAGACAGGATCTCACTGTTCAGCACTGGCTTTCCTGGAGCTCACTGTATAGACCAGTCTGGCCTGGAACTCACTATGTAGACCATGCTGACGACCTGGAACTCAGAATAATCCACCTGCCTTACCACAGCCGGCCCCTTCTGTTTTTGTTATTGTTCTGTTTTGTTTGAGATAGGGTCTTTATATTTCCAAAGCTGTTCAGGAATAGCCTCCCCATTAGTGGGGAGCATACACCACCACACTAGGCTGTTTGTTCACTAGGCATGGCTTCAGGTGTCTCAGGGCCAACCATTATCTTGGTGAGTGTGACAGTGTGCTGGCTGTTTATTGTCATGCTAGTAGTTGCTTCTGTCTTCCTCTGTGAGAGAATTGCTCTTTGTGAATTCCTCTCTCTAGAGGAACCTAGGCAACTTGTGTAAGCAGAGCCCTTGATGTCCTCAGCTTTTGAGGCTTCAGCACCTGAGCCTCAGCTTTGTCCCCTTCCTCACCATCTTCATCTGGAACTAGTGGCCTTAAAATAGCCACTGAAGGGTTAGCATGGTCCATAAATAGAATGGGAAGCCTCATTCATTGGTTCTCTAAACACTTTCTCTGCCCAGATGCCATCTCCCCACCCAGGGTATTATATTAGCAAGGAAAAGTAGAAAATGGTTTAATGGAGAAGGCTTGAGCTAATCTTCACAGAGCATGATCCCAAGGGCATCCCAAGGAATATTGGTGTGCCTGACCCTGAGCACCTATCATCAACCAGAGCCCCAAGTAGTCTGGGTGCCTTCAAGTTTTCTCTTTAGGGATGCCAGGCAGTCTCTTAGGGCAGTGGCCTCAACCACCATCTATGGTTTTCAGAAATAAAAGAAAGCAGGTCCTGAATTGGATTCATGGAAAGCTGCAGTCTTCATGTGGATGTAGCTTTTCTCTGCTTGAGTAGTGAGTATAGGAGAGTATGGATCGGGTCAGTTTTATAGTCAGAATCCATAGCATTCTCGGGCTGAGCCCAGGCTGTGGGAGAGCTGTGCTTCCCTGTTAGCAAATGTGTTTTCTTCTAAGTCACTTGACAGTTGACTCCTGCAAGGACTTTGTCCTGGGTATGACAGAATCAAGCAAGGAAAGAATAGAGATGTAGGGCACTGGCCTTCTCACAGGTCTGGGAAGTAGAGGAAGGGCATGCATTCTTCATCTCCCCTCAGGAAGCACAGACAGTGTGTGTCTGTGTCTGTCTGTCTGTCTGTTTGTCTACTCTTTGAGCCCATGTTTCATTTCAGTGAGACCCCGGAAGAACATCCGAGGCAAGCAGAGTGCCATCCCTGCAGCAAGGCCAGGCCGACCACCAGGGAAGAAGTCCCATCCAGGCAGGCCCCAGCCAAAGGCCCCACCTTTAGATGACACTGAGGTTGATGAGCTGGTAAGAGTTACTTTTCCTCCCTCTAGCCTTTCGGGTCTTTATTCTCTAGTCCACCATGAGGAATTCACAAGGCAACAGATGGGGCTCCCCTCCCCTCCCTTCCCATGGCTTGGGAGTTGCAAAGGCAGATGAGTGGGCCCCTGGGTCAGGTGGCAGGCCTGCAGGAGCAGCTATGCCCGGCATCCTGCCTAGCCTGCAAACTCTCTCCCCTAGTTAGCAGCAGCCTACAGCTTGTTAGGAACTTTAAAATAGTATCCATGTGTCTTGGTGGGCCCATAGGGGTGGGCCTCCAAGTGGGAATGCCAGCAATGCCGAGCCTCTGCCTGCTGCGGCTTTGGCCACAGTTGTTAGGACAGTGCCCTCCCCTCTGCAACTGGCTGGTGTCATTTTAGTAGTTTGTTTTAAGATCTCAATTGAGCTTTGAAGAACAGAAAGACGCTCTTACGGACTTGCTTGTTTTTACAGATCAGATTAGGCTAAAGACATAAAACATGCCATTAGGCAGATGAAGGGGCAGTAAAGTTCCCGACCCCTTCTGTGAGGCTCCCATTCTGGGAGTCCCTCGTGGCTGCCTGGAAGTGTACCCACCCACCCCTTCTTTAGCCACCTCCTCCCATATGCCTGCTGGGAAAGGGGCTGCACTTCTTGCTTTTCTCAGATACACTCTGTCCCCACACAGCTGGCTGCTGGGGTCCAGCTTCTTCTGCCTAGATTTCTGTGATTGCTTGTCTATACCTGACTGTGGTGTCACATCTGCTCTCAGGACTGGTGTCCTGGTGTAATGCCCCTCTCCAGCCACCTCCAGCAGGATGAGGCATATGTGGCTGGGTGGAGGGTGCCACCTGACCTGAGAGCACACCTAGCTTGAGTGGTTGCCATTCCAGAGAAGTGGGGAACTATTTTCTGTTCTGTTTTAGTAGATTAAATTGTTTTTGCCTGTCTACTTTTCCCGCTCACAGCCCTGTGATGACACACTGCTTCCTTTCTTCTAGGTGCTTCAGACCAAGCGCAGCTCCCGGAGGCAGAGCCTAGAGCTGCAGAAGTGTGAAGAGATCCTCCACAAGCTGGTGAAGTACCGCTTCAGCTGGCCTTTCCGGTGAGCCCGGCCCTGCTCCTGAGCCCCACCCCCACCCCCCAGTCCCTTCCTTTTGGGAAATGTTTTGATAGGGGACCAGGCAGTGACAACTCTTAGAAGGGGAACACACCTTGTCTCCTCTTGCCTGATGGCCAGCTGTGGCATCCTGGGGCTGATTATACTATTTCTGGGCGACCCACCAGCCTGTGAAGATTTCTCATTGGGTATTTTTCTGCAGGGAGCCTGTGACCAGAGATGAGGCTGAGGACTATTATGATGTGATTGACCACCCCATGGACTTCCAGACCATGCAAAACAAATGCTCGTGTGGGAACTACCGCTCCGTGCAGGAGTTCCTCACTGATATGAAGCAGGTGTTTACCAACGCTGAGCTCTACAACTGCCGGGGCAGTCACGTGCTGAGCTGCATGGGGAAGACAGAACAGTGTCTGCTGGCCCTGCTGCACAAACACCTCCCTGGCCACCCCTACGTCCGAAGGAAACGCAGGAAGTTTCCTGATCGACTCGCTGATGATGAAGGGGACAGTGATCCAGAGCCTCTTGGACAGTCCAGGGGACGAAGACAGAAGAAGTAGAGAGATGGCCCTGGAGAGGGAGCTGAGGGGGGTAGCGGGAAACTGCAATGGGGAGTGGGGGAGGCAAGAAGATGGGAACTTGAGGGGGAAGTGCCTGTCACACTGCTTGGGCTGTCTTTCTGCGATTCCCCATAGGCCTTGCCCAGGCAAAGCTCTTGGGGAACCTGGTACTAGCCAGGTGAGCACTGCCCAGAAATGCCAACGGCAGAAGTAGGCCTCCCTATTTAGAAGTTCCAGAGGGAGCCTAGGTATGGCTTCTCCTGTGAGCCCTAACCCCTCAGGACCCTCCACTTCGTTTCCACAGCAGTGCCAAGCTCCCTGGGTCCAGAGAGGGTACTTTACCCCACAACAGGAAGGAGAGTCACCTGGTTACTCAGGGAGGGGTGCGGATCTTTTTGAATCTATATTTATACAGTCCTGTTTCTTTATGTACTGTCTCCTCCTCCCTCTCAGGTGACAGTGTCAGCGAGTGCCATATGGAATTGTGTTCACCAGCATCTTGGGTTTTGAGTTGATCTTGGCAGAGTAAAGGGATGTTTCCAGGAGCCATTCCTGAGTACCCCTGTCCTCCTTTGTGACAACCTTTCCCCACCCCCACCCAACGCACCACCTCAAAAAAACAAAAACGGCAAACTAAGGCACTTCCCATAGACTGGACTCCTGCTTCTAATCATGCTTACAACCTTGGCTTTGATGGGTCTGGCCAGAGGGGTGTTGGAGCCCAGCCCACCCGCAAACCAGACACGCTCTTAGGAAGCTGAAGAAGAGCAGGAAGAAGTTTAAATGTTTAATTTTTTAAATTGACTTTTCTAGTTATTAAAGTTGCTTGTTTCAGCAGTGATATTGTATAAAGAACATCTTGTAAAATACTTGTCATCTTGCTTTGGCACATGTACAGTATGATTTCTAAACGTGTTCGCTTTACTCCTTTCTCCCTCAGAAGCCAGCTTGGGGGACACATCCGGCAGGCGGTGGGATCTTGGGTTAGGACCGGGATCCTCTGTCTGCCACATGGGCCCCTGCTCCTCAAGGGCCTGAGGTGGCTGTAGCCCAGGCACTCCTGCAAGATGTGTCTCTCTGTAATAGTGTCAGCCAGGGGGAGGAGGGTAGGGAGGGCTAGCTCAGCCCTTCATAGGCAGTCTAGCCTTGGTGTTGTATTTAGGCAAAAAGTTTGTAGTTTGTTTTCCCTTTTATGACAAATTTTGATAAAAGTATGAGACAGGGTTTAATTTTCTTTTTTTACCAACTTTGAATTTAGACAATGTGAGCCCCTCCTGTATTTAAAGGAAAAGTCCACCAGGACAGGGGATCGCTGCTCCCAGGATTGAGGGAAAACTGTGCCCTGACCTCTGGGTGTGACCTTGCCCTTCTCTGCCCCACTCCAGTGGCTAGAGGAAGTCATCCCTTTCCTTCTCCCACAGGCCTGGGGTAAGCACTGACACTTAAAACACCATGGTCCCAACTGCCACCACCTCCCCTGCTTACCCTGGTCTGTGTTCTGTGAGATGCTCATGAGCCCACTGCAGAGGCCTGAGTCAATGGTGGCTTTTTAAACTGTCTTAAAGGAGGAAGGGCCCCTGTAAAGGGTGAACTTGTAATAAATTGGAATTTCAAATAAACATGTACTTGTGTTTATAAAGAAGAAATGGCTCTGGTGGCTCCTTTGTGCTTGGGGAAGCGGTGGGCAGAGAAGCCCCAGGAGTTGGCCACTTCATGAAGGTTTGACTTGAGCTGAACCAGAGCCTCTCTTTTGGGAGACATGCCCACTGCTGCTACCTGAGCCTCTCCTGGCCTTGTCCAGGGGAAAAGTGGATTTGAAGGGCCTCCCTGTGAGCCTTCTGAGGAAACACCTAATATTTCAAGGTTAAAGTTTCAGATAGGTGGCTGGAGCGATAGCTCAGTGGTTAAGAGCACTGACTGCTCTTGCAAAGGACCTGGCTTCAGTTCCCAGCATCCATGTGGCAGCTGTCTTTAATTTCAGTTCCAGGGAATCCAGTACCCTCTTCTGGTCTCAACAGGCATTGCATGCATGTGGTGCACTTAACATGCAGCAAAACACATGCACATAGGATAAAAATAGCCCCCCTCTCCCCTCCAAATTTCTCTAGATAAGCTAGATGTGGTTTAATCCTAGCTCTCAGGAGGCAGGGCAGGCAGATTTCTATGTGATGAGGCTAGTCTGGTCTACATAATGAATTCCAGGCCAGTTAGGGCTACAGGAGAGCTTGCAAACAACTGCCTAGATTATATGAGCACTACTCCAGTTAAGCTATGAGCCTTGACCCTCTCAACCCATGTTGGGCCTGTCTGGGTGCACCAGTCTTTTTTTAGGGGGGGGGGCGGGTAGATATGTGTATAAATGTTTTGCCTGTCTATATGTAAGTGTAGCCACATGGGTATAATACCTGCAGAGACACTATCAACTGAGCCACATCTGAAACCCCTGACTTTGAACTTAAGGTTTATTTTTAATTTATGTATAATGAATCTGTGCCTGTATGTGTGTATGTGCACCATGTGTGCACATGCCTGTGGAGACCAGAAGAGAGTAGGAGGCCAGAAGAGGGTATTGGATCACCAGGATAGATCACAACACAAGACTGCTCTCCCTGCCAGAGACCTCTCTTTAGATCTAAAGTGAGACTGGATGGTTGGGCATGGTAGCACATGCCTTTAATTCCAGCACTCACAGAAAGGCAGGTGAATCTCTGCAGCCAGTATGGTCTAATGAGTAGGTAGTCAGCCAGGGCTATCTACATACTGAGACCCTGTCTCAAAAAAAAAAAAAAAATAGACTGGAGGCTGGGACCTGACTCAGTGATGCAGCACTTAACCTGGCATGTTTGAGGCCCAGGATTCCATCCCCATCACTGCAAAATGATAAAAGGGCTGGGAACAGCTCTTGGAGTTTCCTTACCTTTTGGAATACTGACTATAGTGTACTCCCAAGTGTCCAAGCAGGGCTTTTGCCCTGCAGAGACTGGGGAGATGACTCAGTGGCTAAGAGTGCTTGCTGTTGCAAACATGAGGACCTGAGTTTGAATTCCCAAGAGCCACAGAAAAAGGCTGGTGTGGCCTTGAGCACCTTTAACCCCAGTAGTGTGAGGGAGAGGACAGGAAAATGCTGGGGCTCATTAGCTGCCATTCTAGCTGGATGGACTTCAGTGATTTTTGATACAGAGTGATAGAACACCTGGCATCCTCTGACCTACGCACACACGTGTACTTACAACACAATTATGGCCTAGCTAGATTCAATACCTAGGTAGTGGCCAAGATGAGCCTGGGTCTTAACCCAAACTGACAGGGTCTCCACACACACCTTAAAGGGGACAGGGATGAGGCAGGTCTCTCAGCAAGCCTGAGCTTCCCCAACGTGCATATGCTTTTCCGAGCTTCCACGCACAAGCATGTCATCTGCTCCAGCATGGAGTATATGTGTACCTCTCTGGACCTGCTGTGTTCTCAAAGCTACTATCAGCACCCCAAAGTTTTTCCTCACATGTAGGAGCTGGGGACAGTTCTTAACTGGTCTCAACTGCTCCCCACCTCAGGCTTTGCACAGTCCAGCCCCATCTTTCCCTCCATCCAAAGATAGGAGGAGGTATCTTGGGATCCCTTGAATAGGATTCAGACAATCAAGTGTGCATACCAACAATATTTTGTTGTTATTGGAGTTTTTATTTTTTGAAACTAAGCTTCCAACTTACCAAGCAATCTTTTTTTTTTTCATCTTTCTGAGACAGGGTCTCCCTGTAGCCCCAGCTGTCCTGGAACTCACTATGTAGACCAGGCTGGCCTTGAACTCACAGAGATCCGCCTGCCTCTGCCTCCCAAATGCTGGGATTAAAGAAGCGTGCGCCACCACGCCCAGCTGCAATCTTTATTTTAAAAACAAATTTTATATCTATTTATTTTGGGAGGGGGGTCATATATCCCATCACACATGTGGAGGTCAGAGGTTTAGAAGAGCTGGTTCTCTCCTTCCACCAAATGGGTTCCAGGAATCGAACTCAGGTCAAGCTTGGTGGCAAACACCTTTATCTTCTGAGCCATCATACCTGCCCTTCTTTTTTTTCTCCTGCCAGACACAGTCTCCTATAGCCCAGGTTGGCCTTGAAGTCACTATGTGCCCAAAGATGACCTTGAACTGCTGCTCCAGTCTATGCCTCCCAAGTGCTGGGATTACAAACATGGATCACCAAGCCTCATTTAAGCAGTGCTGGGGTGGAACCCAGGACTTCATGCATGCTAACAAGCACACTACCAACCAACTGAGCCACAGCTCCAGTCCCCAGCAATCTTCAAAGATGAGGTTAGCCATCCTGCAGACTCAGTCCCCAGGCTTCAGGAAGGGGACCTCTAAGACAACTTGAACAGTCTGACACAAATTTTATTTTAAAAAATTATGTTTAGCTGGGCGTGGTGGCATGTGCCTTTAATCCCAGCACTTGGGAGGCAGAGACAGGTGGATCTCTGTGAGTTCAAGGCCAGCCTGGTCTACATAGTGAGTTCCATGACAGCTGGGGCTACAGGGAGACCCTGTCTCAAAAAGACCAAAAAAAAAAAAATTATGTTTGTGTGTATTTGGCTTTGGTGTGTGTGTGTGTGTGTGTGTGTGTGTGTGTGTGTGTGTGCCAGCATGTGTCCTGCACATGTGCCTGAGCCATTTATATGGAGGTTAAAGGACAATTTTCATGAGTCAGCTCTGTCCTTCCACCATGTCGGATCCAGGGATCAAACTCAGGTCATCAGGCTTGGCAGCATTTTCCCACTGAGCCATCTCACCAGCCCTGACCTCCTCATTTTTAAAAACAAAAGCGAAGTGTGAGAAAGAGAAAACTTACCTGTGACTCCAAACAGGCTAGATAACACCCCTGGGGCTAGGAGTGGCCATGTCAGGCAAGAGTAGAAAACACACACAGACACACACACACACATACAATCTAGGGCTCTAATTAAGTTCAGTTGCCCCATGGAGAGCACCCCCAGCTCTGTTTATAAAGGCTATCCCCTCCTACCCTCCTTCCCAGCCCAGATAGGACTCATTAGTACCACTCAGGGGTTTATTCCAGTCACAGCTTCCAGAGAAATGGCACAATAAATTACATCATTAAATAAACTCCGTGCTGGACCCTGCCCTCTTCTGCCCCCTCCCCCTCTCCTAGGATCCTTTGGGGACTCAACTAGGTCCACTCCCTGCATGAGGGAGAATAGGGCTGTGAGTCTCACAGGGTCCCCACCCTGGTCCTTACTTGTCTGACCTTGACAGCTGCTAGTCAGCTGTCTCTGAAAGGGGGAGGAGGTAAGGTGGGGGCAGACACAGCCAGGAGCCAAGTCTGTGTGGTGTCCCTAGAGATGTGTGGGGTTCTCCAGAGAGGGGTCGGTCTTAGTCATGTGCAAGACCACCATAGGGGCCTTGTAATGGCAGTGGGTACCACGGCCACAGCCCCCAGGGGCCCGGCAGACCTTGGCCCGGGCCCGGCCTGCAGCCATCTTTCGATAACACAGGCTCTGCCAGGTCTGGAAAGTCTTGGAACTCCATACCCAGACTCCACTAGTGATGCCCACCACCAGGGACATGAAGATTTTGAGCATAAACACAGCCACGGTGGGCACAGAGCCCCCTGGCAGCGAGCAGTCTCTCTGGCCTCCAGGCACGGTGGCAGCAATACATGGCTGTTCTGTGGCCCTGAGGCGCCAGAAATCCATGTTGAGGCGTTCATAAACATAGCACACGATGACACAAGTGGCTGGCACAGTGTAGAGGATGGAAAAGACCCCAATCTTGACCATGAGTTTTTCCAGCTTCTCTGTATTGGTGCCACCCGTCTTCATAATCTTTCGGATATGGAAGAGAGCCACAAAGCCTGTCAGGAGGAAGCTGGTGCCTAGTACCAGGTAGCAGGAGAGGGGCACCAATACGAAGCCAATGAGTGCTGCCCCATCCATGCTGGCTACATAGCAGAGCCCAGTCAGTTCATCCCCAGCCACCTTCCGCAAGGTCAGGACCACGATGGTTTTGAGGGCTGGCAGGCCCCAGGCTGCCATGTGGAAGTAACTGCCATGGGCCTCAATGGCCTCATGGCCCCATTTTTTGCCTGCAGCCAGGAACCATGTGAGAGTCAAGACCACCCACCAAAGTGAGCTGGCCATACCAAAGTAGTACAACAAGAGAAAGACCAGCGTGCAGCCTGTGTTCTCCAAGCCCTCCTGGATCACATACAGGGCCCCCGCCTCCTGGTCACAGGCCACACTCTGCGCACCTGCCACAGCCCGGATCAGAAAGGCCAATGAGTAGACGTTGTAACACATGGAAAGGAAGATGATGGGGCGCTCGGGGTACTGGAACCTGTGAGGCTCCAACAGGAAGGTGAACACTGTGAAGGCGGTGGAGAAGAAACACAAGGCAGACCACACAGCCATCCAGACGAGCGCAAAGTCCTTGTCACGCCGAGACCAGAACACCTCGACGCCAGGTCCGCAGCGAGGAGCGCACGAGCGACTCTTTTCCACGTACTGGAACTTCTCCGGGTTCTCGCAGGTGCCAGCGCTGCCTGGACCGAGGGCTGCATCCCCCGGAGGCCTGGCGGGCCTAGGGGCCACAGGTAGCATGCCCAGACCCTTGTGGGGCTCTGCGGGGCCTGCGGTGGCGTTCTCCGGTGCCTCCATGCACAGCGAGTGCGGGTCGTTGCGCGTGGGGAGCCGGGCACAATCCAGAGAGTCCGGCCATCCGAAATTGAATTGTTCCATGATGGGGGCGCAGCGCAGGCGAGCCTGCTCGCACATGGGCCGGCAGGCGGGGATGGGAGTAGAGACCTGGTCGGTGCACATGGGGGCGTAGAGCGAGCAGAGGAAGAAGCGCAGGTGGCTGTGGCAGCCGTACTGCACCAGAGGCGCGAACTCGGCGAGCTGGGCAGCCGCCTCGCCCTGCGACGTGTGGCCCAGCAGGTTGGGCATGCGGGTCAAGTTGTAGCCGATGCCCCTGCACATGGGTATCTCCATGGTCTGGCACGGGGCGGGACCCCGGCCGCGCTCCGGATCGAAGCGACCGATCTCCAGCGCAGCGCCCCGCGTCGCCAGCAGCTGCCACAGCAGCAGCGCCCCGCGGAGCAGCAGCGGGGACACGGCCATCGCCCCCCCCCCCCCCCCCCCCCCCCCCGCCCAGCGACGGCCCTGGCTCACTCCCGCAGTTCCATCCCGTGTCCCGCGGTCTGCACGCCGCGTCTCGGGAGGGACGCCATCGCCGGGACGCCCACGGGTATCCCCGAACACGCGTGAGAGGAGCAGCCACCGCCGCTGCCACTCCAGCCAGAGCCGCCCGCGCGGTCTCCGCAGCTAGCTGTGGCCGCTACCAGGCCTGGGGGCGTGACCGAAGACAAGACACGCCCAGGGGAGGGGCCTATGCGCTAGGCACGCCTCCATCCCGGCTTTAAAGGAGCCGTGTCAGGTTGCCACGCTGGAGGCGGGTGGGCGACACCCTGGGCTAACTCGCCTTCCCTTCCACACAGCTCTTTCCCTTACTGTGTAAACTAGTCTCTGCTTGTGACCACCGGATAGTGCGCAGGAACATTTAGTCGCCTTCGCCACTATGTCAGGGGGTCTCTTTTCGCCCCAAGTGGGAGGATTGTGTCTAAGGCCTCCAAGGTTCCCAGAGTTGGTTCTCCCCTTCCCCCTCCTCCTCCCCCTCCTCCTCCTCCTCCTCCCTTTCCACCTCCACCTGTTTTGTGCATGTTAGGAAAGCACCCCACCTCTGAGGTGTACTGACTTGGGAAGTTTTGGGGTGTTTTTTGTTTTGTTTTTGTGACAGGGTTTCTTGTAGCCCAAACTGGCCTCACACTCCCAGCATAGGATGATTTTGAGCTCCTGATCTTCCTTCCTCAACTTCCTGAGTGTTGGGGTTTGTACAGTTCTGGGAATCAAAGCCAGGGCCTGGAAAAGTACTCTCCCAACTGAGCTTCAGGGCTTTTAAAAATATTTTCATGACATTTATGCTTTCATGGAGGGGGGGCACCCTCTGCCAAGAGTCAGCTCCCTCCCTCCACCATGAGGGCTCCAAGGCTCAGACTCAAGTTGTGAGGTTTGGTAGCAAGTGGCTTTACCCACTGACCCATCTTGTCAGCTCCTCCATTATTTGTTTCTGAATGTTTTTTTGGTATTTATTTATTTAAGGCTATGCATGTGCCACAGTTCCTGTGTGGAGGTCAGAGGACACCTTTCAGGAGTCAGATCTCTCCTCCTCCTCCTTCTCCCCCTCCTCCTCTTCCTCTTCGTCTTCCACCTTCACTGGGGTCAAACTTAGATCGTCAGTCTTGGTGGCAATTGTCTTTACCTGCTGAACCATCTTACAAACTCCTCCATTTCTTATTTCTTGGTTTGTTTTTGATTTTTGTTTTTGTTTTTTTTGTTTTCTTTGTCTTTTTGAGACAGGGTCTCCTTGTAGCCCCAGCTGTCCTGGAACTCACTATGTAGACCAGGCTAGCCTTGAACTCACAGAG